TACATGTACAGGTGTATATCATCCACCTTTTCTATCTCTCTTTCCATCAACCATCCCCTCTTTTTTCTATCCATTTACATGTATACCCTTTTTTATTTTCCATTGACTACTAGTATGGTGAGAGAAACAAGAATCAACCAGACACTTTTCTGTTTCCATAAACCTCGTACACTGTAGATTGTAGGTAGATTGTACACTATGAAACAACTACCCTGTACAGTATGAACCCTTCCCCCCATTCCCCCAACCCATTCCCCCTTTTTATTCCCATATTACCCCTCTGCCCTTCCCCATTTCCATTGAGTATGCAGAGAAAGAAGGGAGTATCATTGGGTCCTCAACGTTCCTCCCGGGGTCCCTTACCAGGATGTGATTCACAATGCAAGGCTGCACAATTGTGCGACAAATTTCTGCAAATCATTTCGACTCTCAAGCAATATCCAGTGTAGCTCGAGATATGGCGTCTCAAGCAAAAACCCAATTTGCATCTCAGTTTCAGATTGTGCATATACCGCATGCTCGTTGGTATACATCTACTTTGCTGTGGACTGGATAAAGACTGCATACTTTATATGAGTGCTGTCTCCAATATACACTGTAGGCGTAAACGCAATGATCCTACAACTTTAAACCAGTCAGATTTGGAGGATTTACAAATTACAATATATCAAGGAAATGTTACAAAAAATAACAACTGCCATTTTCCCCAAGAAATTAGACATACATGTACAGTACATGTACAACAATGAACATACACAAAATGTATCTCAAACTATGAAGCTACATGTACATACAGTATGTGCATGCCTGCATGGTATTGTAGGCCTGGATGTGATATTTCTCTGATTTTCCATTTTACAATACAATTGACAAAAATATACAGAATGGGAATACAAGAAATGTACAAAAATCTCAAATCAGGCTAACAGTAAATGACAACGAAGTAGACAATATGCTGAATTATGGCAGTTGCGATCTAGACAAGGAAGGAAGAAACGTCCAAACTGGAGTCTTTTATTGAACAAGCACCCAGCAAAGCGATTCTCCTCTGCACTGTTACAGTATGAAGGGGGGAGCGCTACTCAATTCACAGACAGGAAATAGGGTCTGATATCATCTTCCCGTTCCGGACCCACAAATCAGAGACTAGCACGCGACTAGAACTAGCATCCAGCAGAGTCTACTGTCGACTGGCAGTGGCAGCTATTCATGTACTATTACACAGGAAGCTTAGGAAAGGATAATGAACTGAATTAAAAAATGTATGTACTGGTTAGTTAAATCTAATTTTCTCACTGTTTACTTCTCCACTGAAAGGAAGGAGAGGCTATCGTCGGTCTATTCCCAATATTCATAGCACGATTTTAATCCTAAAAACTAAGGAAACATTGAACGACAAGCATGAATAACATGGAAGCATCAATATAGGCTTGGCAGCTAAGCAACTTTTGACCATGCACTGACCATAATGAGCTATCAGCTTGCCAGTGCTGTACTATTTCAACCGCACATGCACATCCTGGAATCCCTAATTGCTTGTCCACGGAATCCACAGAATTATAGACCGTGAACAGCAATGATTTCACCTTGAATCTGGGGTGTATTGATAATATGCATAAAAGGAAGATACTATCATAGATCATATCTAAAGTGCTGTTGTATAGTTCCTGTTAATTGATTTTTGTTTGTTTGTTGTTATTATTTTAATGTATCTTTTTATCTACAGTGTACAAATGAACATCTGTCTGTGTAAATGACCCCGTTGAAAACCAATTTTTACTATTATGGGCCATCCTTTCGGAACATACTTAAATATAAAAAAACAGTGTATTATGCAGGTACAGGTACACCATTTAATGAATCAACTTCACAGCATCAGAGTCATGATTTTTTTATTTGAATAATTAAGTATGCCTAGAGTTGCCTTTTGAGTCTGACTGTAGTATGTACCAGTACATCGATATTGGTGCCATGGTTTACCTCGTTAATTCTTATTATGTCTCATTGTTTAAAGGGAAATCCAACGATAGCAAACTACTCTGAAGGAAAGCTGAATAATCAGAGAAGTATACTGGTGAAAGTATGAATGGAATCGGACATAGAAATGAGAAAGTTGTTATTTTGCTAGAGTTGTAATCACTATAGGCATGGCTCTTTAAGTTAGCTGAATCAATAATGTTGTATTGATAGACACAACTTTCTCATCTGTTCCAACACAAAATGACTATGAAAAAAAAAGATCTAAAACAATGTATGACTTACATGTAAAAGTGTCTTTTCTCTTTAGTTGCCTGAGAGTCTGAGACTATGTCACAAACAACTGACAAAATTGCCAATTTGCAAAGACTTACCCGATAGCGATTTCATATTTTAAACATACCGGTACATGTACAGTGGCTTTCTTATTATCGGCCACATTCCTTTCACCATTTTGTTTCCCCTTTTTTCTGCTTTCATGCAAATGAACTTACTACAAGGGTTGAATTGCCCTTTAAGTATGATACTACCAGTAACAAAAGATTCAAATTTATGGTCAGGTTGTAATAAATACTGCAATACTGTACATCAGAAAAATATAGACTACATATCCGGGTATTTTGGTTCATAAACTGATTTTTGTTATTCTTTTATCCATAAAAAGTTAAATATCAAGTACCATCAATTTCATGAAATAAAAGAGAGGTAAGAAACTAAAGAGCTGAACCAGCAGAGAAAAAAAAGGCACATGCAAATTCCTATTTTTGTGGCAGAAACTAAAACTTGCTCCCCTTTAACATGACACTGGCAATGGCATTGTATTCAAAAACAGTATGTTGACCTTTGATCTCTAGGACTCTACTCTACTCTACACGGAGTACATTGAGTACTCCCCACAAGTGCCTGTAAACATATCATGTAAAGATCCATTACTTCTGCCGCACGCACGCATGGGTGTATTTTGTGGCTTTTGCTTTTTATTTAATAGTGCCGTTTTGCTTGCCAGATTTCCATTTTGATAATTGAAGACAAATTAGCACCAGTGTATGGAATGGGCACTGTACAGTACTGTAATAAGTTTCACAATTCGTATCATTATTACATGCTTTCATGCATAGCTTCTAGCTCCTGGTAAATTCACACAAATTTATTTTCATGATAATTGAGCCTCTTGAAATGGTATTTAAGCGCAGTTTGTTCAACAGCATATTGAATATACTCTACCAACAGACTGACAATACTTATCCCTTTCATCTTTAAGACTAGTACACTGTACATACATGTATATTTGCAACCCCATAAGAGCCTTCATGTAAATGACAATGCCAATTGGTGGTTAAATTTGCAGCAACGTAGTGTATGCTATTTTAAGAAGTAGCCATATATATTTTTCTTTTAATTTACTTCAAATGTCATCTAACTTTAAAGCTCACAATTTGGCAATACATAGGCTTATTCTCATGAAAAGTTATTTTAAGGCAAACACAAAGTCTGGGATTCACATCGCCCGATTATCTTACAGAATTTCGGAACTGGAACACTTAGATTACCGACCCCATCCCTCAACAGAACCTTCTGCGCACAATCAGGGTACAATGATATCATTTCCTCCCCTTCGACGGAGAACATAAGCCACTATTTCAACACTCTGACAGCCCCCTCTTCTTCCCCCGTGACTTCTTTTTAATCTCTGCTCTTTTCCAAGTTGACATATTTGGCCCCTAAAACTGGGAATAGCCTTAGACAATTAGGGAAGCTAGCCTGCGATAGTTAGCTTCTGTCTTTGTTTATCTTCAAGTCTGTGACAGGGAAGAGGGCAGCAGATTGCGGTTAAAGGCTGGCCTTAGGAAAGCAGGAAGATGAACGCTTCCGCCAAATGGCTGACTAAATCCAATGTTGCTCAATCATACCCTCTTGGTACAGGAAGCATGTTGTACACCATCTCCATAGTGTGATTAAATATTCATCAAGGTCTACTATCTCGCTCATGTTTCATCAAAATACCCCAAGGAGTACGAAGACATAGTAAAAGATCTCAAACATGGAGCACTTGGGAAGTCAAGGGTACAGACATTTTGGTGTCACCATTTACAAAAAGAAATCGCCATTCGTTCATACAAGTCAGGCCTACAAAACATGAACATGTTCATAATGATGATGATATACAGAACATCTTACAAAGCCTCCCACCCCCTTCCGAGTTGCTTGTATTGTAGCGCATGTACTCTCCTATCCTAGCCATCAGTCTACAACTGTTTCCAACATGCCATGTGAGCAAGGCTTCTGACAGATCCGTCTAAATTTGTGACATACATTTAATTTGCAGGATCGTGAGGATTTGGGAAGGGAGGGTTATTTTTGGCACATGGTGAATGCGCAAGACTGTCAGCGGCACACTCTCTCTTCCATAATCAGAGGCACAATTGGAGGGGTGGGTTCAACAGGGAGGATATGGTTTCAAATTCAATCGACTGCATATAAATTGTTTGCATTTTGTTAATAATTTGATAAATCCTGCATTATTTATAGTACCGGGTAATTCAACAATGTGGATCAGGTATGGACAACAAGTAATAGTATCATCCTAAAAAGCAATTTCCTAACCAATGAGCGCTCTCTATCATGTACATGTAAGCTTGCTCATTTACATGTATAATAAAACACTACACTGTGGAAAGCAAAATGGTGCCTGAAATGCATGCAGAGCACAACACATGTGATACAAGTCAATTTATGTCATTTCAAGCATCAATTGGCAAGTTAAACATGATGGTGACCAACTATTTCACAATAGGGTAATGTCTATGTACAGTATTGCCTGAAATAAAGTAGACACTCTCACACTGTGTCACGCGTGAATGCATGTATTGTTCCATAGACTTTGGTGTGACTACGTGGTAATGTGTCTATTTTATTTCAAGCAACACAGTAATCCTAGTAATGCAATGAATTCTTCAATAGTACTTCTACATCTTCCTGTGATGGGGCATGCACACACACACACCCTTTCCTCTCTCTCTTTCATCAGGGTGAACAGGGTCATCCTTCTTCTACTATGACAAACACAATCTCTCATTTTCTCTTCTACTGTTATATGCCAAATTGCTTTGATTGAAAACCATAGCTATCTTTTAGGTTTAGATCTACAAGGTCCTGTATTGACTTGTAATGTGAGTTCAAGTTGTAATTCCCACCACTAAATTTGTTAACAAAGAAATAGAAATACAGATAACTTTGTGTAAAATAATGTTCCTTCACTGCCCTTGCAATTTTAGTAACTCAATTTATATATTTGACATGTTTGATTAATTTAATTGTTTTAACAATTGTTTTTTTCTTCTTAATCTTAGGTCTAAACTTTGTTTTATACCTGTTTCCTCTTGTATTTGCAGGTGGGGTCGAATTTGGCCTTCACGTTGTCTAATGCCTCCTTGTATTTTTCCTCGGGATTCTGGTCACTGGCCAAGAGAAGGTAATTCCTCCAGTTGTCAGAGTCGAAACCCCAATGACAAGTGCGTGTTTCTCTGCGCTTATGTCCATGGACGATGAATTTCTGAGGTGTAAGCATGACGCTGCATTCCAGGCATTCAATGCATGAGCTGTTGGCAGTTTCATAGAGTTCTGGCGTGAGAAGACCCTTGCACTTCCCGAAGCATTCGTGGTAGACTTTCATGCTTTTTTCGGTCGGGTGTTTGGGCTTTTCATCCTGGGCCATCAGCCCCATGGACTTTGGAGAGCGGGTGTCCATGATCATGATCCCGTGCAGAAGTGCGTTGCACAGGCGCTCAGCATCGGTCTTGGTAATCAGTCCACAAGAAGGAGCACTGAAGGGCAAGATTCCTGTAACTTTGAGGATTTCAAGCTGTTCGGGGCTACATCGGGAACAGTAGATGTGCAATTCATCGCAAACAGCATTGATCTGCTGCAGGCTAAAATCTCGGAGAACACTGTTCAGAATCTGCGGCAGGCAGAGGCGCTTCTCGCCCCCGACAGCAAAGCATGAGATGGCCTCATCTTCCAAAATTGTGGCTCCTTTCTCGCTTTTCGTCTGATCATTTGGAGTGAAGACTGGCATTTGCTGTATTGGAAATGGCGGTGGATGAAGCAAGGGGTCATATTCCATCTTGACTGTAGTGGCACTGGCCAAGCTTCGCTGCTGTGCATGTGCTTGTTGTCCTAAGGCGGCCGCCTTGCTCGCAGACACGCGAACCACGGTTTCCTTCATGATCGGATCAACGAGTTGTTTACCAGCCATACTTACGGCCGCCTCTGCCCAACTTGGGCGATAGCTGCTCGGTCCTCCCAAACTTGACATTGCGACAGTCTGATAACTTTTCAGTACCTTCTCAAGACTTGAATTGTAACCTTGTACTTGAGGATCCTCCATCCTCTGATGAAAAAGGGCAAGAATTTGCCTTTCTTGTCTTCAGGTTTTCTCTACTCAGACTCTCAAAGCTAGAAGTTTAGAGTAGTAGAATCGCGGTAAAAGATTCAGTGTTGTTTTGTTGCCTCGTGAAGATTATCTGCCGAGAGTTGTAAAACGTGCGGCGGGTTCGGCTATGCATATGGGTATGGTACGGTAATAATACACACACACTCACGTCTCATGCATGCACACACTCACTATTTCCTCAGCCTATGGACTGAACGTATATAGCAATATGTGTGTGTGTCTCGCTCGTAGACAACACATACACAGACAAGACTTGTGTATACAAAATCGTTCGCAGCCGTCTCGCCGACAGCTCGGCTCAGCTACAGGCGCTTATCAACTTTGCCATTACATTCACAAGCTACTCCCCCCTGGAAAATTCAGTTCAACGCATGAACAAATCGATCATGTTTACATGCGAACATTCTTTCGTGAGCGAAATACGAATGTTGATATGTCTACGTAATAGTCCCTTCACATTAAAACCAATCATGTACAAGGAATATGAGGATAGTGCTTCATTTTAAATGGAAAGTGTTCTTCATTTGGGGCATTCTAAACGCTGCATAACACAGTCGAATACGTCACAGCTTCGCACAGTAGATTGTCTAGCCAGACCAGACGACATGCGTCATAACTAATTTTTTCTAACCTCTAAAGGTTCTATGTGTTTATATCGTTCCTTTTCGTCGGATACGGTGGTTAAGTTCTTATTTTGACATAATGTCCAGTAATTCATACAATTTATTCACGAAACCGAAAAACGTGCCCTCTCCTCATCAGTCAGATTTTTTTCTCCGAAACGACCATTCATTATTTACATCACGATCACGTGCCTGTGTATACGCTCTGCTCAGAAGCATTATAGGGGGCAACTCGACTTCTGAGAAGAGCCGTCGTAATATGTCGGGATTACGTAAGAGATAATCTCGTTGGCCTGATCATGGAGCAAGCTTAGAGCAATTATAGTACCCGAAGGATGAATGCTTCACAAAACTATCTTTGCTCAAGGTCCAATCTTGGCTCCTGCTCTCACACCTCTCTTTCCGACTGGATCAACCCCTCACTTTTCACAATCTCTCTCTGACTCTCTCAGTTTTGTACTTGATCTCCACGTTACCAACATAATTATGCACCAACTGCAGTTCTCCATACTGGAGAAAGCGAAGCAAAGAAGAAGAAGAAGGTATCATTCAGATAGAGATCCTCTCTAGGCCTACTGCTATTATGATACAGTTACCGGCACAACTATAAATTGAAACCGCTGTGATGAACGAATATTGACGGGTTACGTAACAGGGTGGCTGATACTCCTATGAACGGGGCAAAGAAGTCGTGTTTATTCCGGGCACATAATAATAGTTCTAGTGGGCTCCCCCCACCCCCCCCCCCCCCGCACAAGGGGGCTCCGCATAACTCATAACGAAGTTTCCTTGTAGTTGTAGCCTCTCAAGTTTGGCGGGTTTAGTCTTTATTTTGCTTCCGTATAGTTTGTTTACTTCTGTTAATTTGCTTCCGTATAATATAACTGGGCAAAGAATTTTTTTTTTAAATCCCCATTCCAACCCCCGCCGTTTGCAAAGGGTTTACGCATGAAAGAATGACTAGCTATCAGCAGACTTTCAAGCACATTTTCCACAAAATATATGACTCTATGCTTAAAAACAAGTACAAAATGGCTTTAAATTAAAAAAACACTCGTTCTAGCATATTATTCAAATGACCCTTTTTCGTGAAATGTATTTCACTTGAGACAAAAATATACTTTTTTATTCAAATCCGCGAACATTTCCGAAAGTACCACTTTTTCCCGACATGATTGTGTACCCGTCAATTCTCCTTTCCTCCTCAATAGAGCGAGGCAGTGAGCCGAGCAAGAATATAGAAAGGGGAAGGAAATAAAAAGCAATCGCAGTATTGGACCTGCATAATTATCAAAAGTTAATTTACCATAGACTGCCATACAAAGTAGCCAAGTAGGACAAGGACACAATACTCCATGTGACCCCAATTGGGAAAATTGGTGCAGTCTATAATATTCCAAGGGAACATAATAACCAAACGGAAGGACACGCTCTCAAAATAAAGACGGTCATTAATTAGATACATTGGAAGCTTTTCGCTTATTTGTATAGACTGTGTATTTCTGTATTAATGAAATAAATATATTTTGTAAAGACTCTTATTCTCAGTCGTACTATAGTACCAGTCGTGAGACTGAGTGTGGCGTAATCTGCCCTGGCATAATCATTTGGATCAAAGAAGGACACATTTGCTCAAAATAGAGGAACGTCCTTCAGATACCGTTGTGCATTGTGTCTCAGTATGTATTGATTAATGTATTGGCCTACTTACATGCTGCAATAATAACCTGTGAAGCGTAGCAAAAAAAATATATCCTTTATTATCAAAGTAATCTTCATGTATTTGCTTGGAAGTGGACTGTTGAATAACTTCCTATCTCAGCCTTGAATTCTCGGAGATTTGTCCCAAAACCGTATGGCCCCTTTTCTGTAAATTCTACCGGTAAACCATCAGGAGAGTCACTACACTCCACTGACATTGTAAAACTATATTGGTTGCAATAATAATTATGTAGGCCCTGAAAAAAAACATTTGCCTTGTGGTGTAGTGCATAAGTGATCGTGGCAACAGTATATTTCTATGCGAACAGTATTTTGTAGGCCTACGTCGTGGACATGAGAGTCTGTTAAATAGGGAAAAAAAGAATGCCACTAGAGGGCGATACATTCATTCGCATTATTATGTCACAATTTGTTTTAATGAAATTATTCAGTACAGACGTTTAGTGTTACTAGGGTCGGGGAGATCATCACGTACCATTTTTTTATTTCATGAACAGTATTATTTTATAGGCCTATAATAAATAAGCCTAAAGAGATACAAGAAAGACAAATATTAAACAACTACACTCATGACACTCACATAAAATTGCGTATCCCAAGTCCCTTGAGAGAGAAAAATATGAATTTTGTTTGGTCATGCCCAAATGTCCAAAGAATGGAGGGGGTGGTCAGCTATTAGTAGAATGTCCGAGTGCGAAAACGAAGTCTAGCCGACTGACCCCCAAGGCTTGCGCGACATTGACCCCGACCCTGAAGATATTTCATGGGCTTTTAGTCTGTGAGCGGGGTCTTATATAGAGGAGGTGATAAATGGAATGTGGCTGTATTTAAAGCCATATACACGTATCTCCATGCAAGTATAGCTCCATTATAGCTGCATGGAGTCCATTTATAGAGCTGAGATTGATCATGATTGTTATTATTATTATTATTATTATTATTTATTCAGCAAAAACAAAGAAAATCCTTGAATACAAAACAAGAGTAAATTTTGATAACTGTAACCCGAAGGTCTTCTTTTCCAATCCATGTGACTTTACAGAAATGGTAACAAAAAAATGGTGAGGTATAACAATTTATGAATCACTGTGTAATCAACAATGATAATCATCGAAAAGATGAAATTAAAAAAACAAAGAACAAAAAAAAAACGACCCCCCCCCCCCCGATAAAAAAAGAGGGAAAACGCCGTTTTGAGTACATTATAGCACCAGGAAGAATGACAAACTAAGAAGAAAAAAGAAGGTGAATACAAAGTCATGCACTCAAATTCGACATTGACCTGGAGTTTTACCTGAAGATTGTTACTGGTAGTTGTAATGTAATTAATTTTCTAATTTCGACTTTCTGTTCATTCTTGCGATTTACTTCTGATGAGTGCAAGACGAAAAGCTTCAGTGTCTTCATTTGTCGTTTATTCTTCAATATTATTCTCTCAAGTTTCATAAACATTCCTGTCGGTGTCAGATGGGCCTACTTTTATTAGTCGTATTCATTATGAATTTAAAAAATTCTGAAATTTTGTATTTCATTTTTAAGACTCACTCTTAAATAAGTTATGAGATAGCCAGAGACGTCCATGGGTATCTAATCGCTCACGCATCACACATTTTCTATTAAATATAAATGGCGTTTCTCATCTATATCTGCATGACTTGTATAGATTATAGCTCAGATCATGGCTGACATAATTATTATTACCAATAGAAAGCACGATCGCCACTAATTTCGAAAAATCAAACTAAGGCCTTTTCAATGACCCTGTAACTTGTATTTCAAAAAGTGACATACTATGTTTATGTCACCTTTGGAAATGTGTGAACGTTACAATGACATTACGTAATCCAAATCTGATTTTGTTTTTGTTTTTTGTTTGTTGTTGTTTTAAATGGGAAATGCAATTATGTACAATGGGGTGTTGAACTTGCCCAAAACTTTTTCGAAAGTAGTCCAATAGAGGGGAGAGTGGGAGAGAGGGGAAGCATGATAGAGAGAGAGAGAGAGAGAGAGAGGTGAGAAAGGGGGAAGAGAGAGGGAGAAGGGGTGGGAGAGAAAGGAGAGAGGGGGAGAAAGAGAGGAGAGAAAGGGGAGAAAGAGAGAGGGGAGAGAGAAAGGGAGGAGAGATGTGATAGAGAATGGGAGGAGAGAGAGAGAGATTATATAGGGAGACAGACAGACAGATAAACAGAGACAGATAGGAACGGTCGGGAGGGGGGGGGGGGGGGAGGGAGATAGATGAAAGAAATACAGAGATAGAGACCATTAATAGAACCGGAACAACACTCATCTTTCTTAGTTTAGATGTTGCTGTCAGAAACATGGTTTTGCACCACTTCCGTCAGGCGACAGAGGAATAAAAACAGAGCGTGTCTAGGAAAATACCGCTACATCCATTGTTCTCCTCCTTCTCCAGTTATTCCACAAGAACCAAATTATTTGCATTTCCAATCAAAATATCTGTCCATGGTATTATAGAAGGCGATGGTTGGGGAGAAAAACATCATTATGTTTAGATTTAGGGATTTGTACGAACCACATCAGCCGGAAAAATTCAAGGTAAAAAGGATTTTTCTCACACACAAGAAAGAAATTACAGCGGAGACTGAAAATACATCTAGAGAAAAATTATATCTTGGTTCAATGATTCATGGCCATTATCATTTTTAATGTTAGGGGGAGCTCAGAACGGGGAAATATCGATAAGGAACTTTGTTGTTGACGAATATACATTCTTAGGAAAATGCAAATAATAAAAAATAAATCTTGAAATTATGGTCGCAAAAGTCAAGGTAAAAAAGGATTTTTCTCACACACAAAAAAGAAATTGCAGCAGAGACTAAAATACAT